ATATATATATATATATATTGTGACGTTGCCGTCCTTTTAAAGCGTCTATCCGCCCCGAGATTTTACGGGGCGCGGGCCGAGCGGCCGCGCCAGAATCAATCTCGAGAGAGCGTTATCCAAAAATCCCCGGAGAGACGAGCGCTATCCGATAGTTTATTAAGATTTTTATTAATTGTATCGAATTTTTGTTTGTTTGTCAAAAACGACAACGGGCACCTCGCCGGAGAAGATCCGGAGGACCGGAAGCACATCAAGGAAGATTGCAGCAAGACACTTAACGACAGCGAACGGAGGAGATAATAGTGCTTGAAAGGACGATACCAGGGGAATTCACCCGCGGCCCAGGAAGGAGGACGGAAGTCCGATCAACGCTACCCGCCGAGGAGGACAAACGACAGCGGAGCCTCCAATGGGCCCTTGTACCGGGGCCCGCGACAGCCACTAAATAATTCAAATCGAATTAATTGCGCGCGAAGCGCTAAAAGCGCCGCGGATCTCGCGAGGCGCTAGGACCTCTCGCGTGCCGTATCTTGATTGGCCGCGGGGCTGCGCACCCCACTAAGCGGTCATTGACGCCGCTATCGACCCCGGGCCGCGAAATCCCAGGATCATTCTGGTGCGGACGCTCGCGAGACTAAGTCGCCCCGTTTCTTTATTATCTTGTGTCGAATTTTCTGTGTTTGTCGCCGCTGCCGGGAGACCGAATCGAGGACGAGGCCGAGGACCATCCCCGGAGGAGGAAACGTTATCGGTGAGGTTGCCCATCTTTTCGTATAAGCCACGTACGCGATTTCGTCCGCGTGCCGGCCGTTCTGCCGCCGTCGCCATCTTTTTCGTGTTTCGCGACCGCTCGAGCCGTTGCCGAGACGGTGATATTTTTGTGCAATTGCGGGCGACCGGAGGCAAGCGACCAAGGAAGGATCTTCGTAACGTCGGCGTTAAATTGATAAAGCAACGTTCGTCTCTCTCCGGGTTTCGGGTGTTCTTTACACGAAGCTATCGACCGGCGAATATCGAATTCGCGTGCGCGAAGGATCGCGAAAGCGAATACCGCCCGTGTTGTCGTACCGCTGTCGTCGCCGCGTGGAATATTCCGGGACGTATCTCAGGGCGATTTTTGATGTCGGATTGAGTGTATGTCGTCGTTAATTGTAAGAATGCGTGTGAGCGTTTTTGATACTTTATGGTAGAGTGAGCGTGAAAATATTTGCGTCGTTGTTGCGCTTATTACGCCGCCGAAAGGAAGGGTAACCGAATATTGTCGTCTTTATCACGCTTATTACGTCGTCGAATAAAGCGGAACAAATGGTATGTAGCGTCTGCCGAATTTATCGTGGTGCGAGATAATCGCCAGAATATTGAGAGTAAATTTGAGCGGTTTGCGCGGAAGAAAGAGGCGAGACATCGGCGGAGAAAATTCTCCGTCTGCCGTCGACTATCAAAATTTGAGAATATAGTTCGCCTATCGCATACATGATCCGTCTTCGCAAAAGTATTCAGTATTTGAGGTTACTTATGTTGTCGAATTAGTAAGCTGTCGATTTGTTTCGCGAACTAGGAAATTGCGGGGAAAAGTCCGTTGCAATAAGTCGTCGATCTGGCTACCGAAATTATGCTATCGTTTGATTAATATCCGCGAATATTTTTGTACCGAAAATCCTTAGTATTTCGTAAAGTCTCGCTCAGTCCTGCGAACTCCGGCCATAAAAACGGGCTCGGATAACTAACCGGATAGTATTAGCGCTCTCATTTTCGTTGTCGATTCGAGCAGATATTTGCTCAGAATACCGTCGCAATTTTCGTGCCAGGATTAATTATATTGTCTTTTTCGCTTTCGTATTTCGTTCGAATTTATTGTGGACCGTCGTTTCTTGATTTGTATGATTCGTTCTCGCGTTTCGGGGAATTAATAGCGAACTAATATCTTTGTAAGGAATTGTTAATCTCAGTTCAATTATCGCTTATTATTGTTTGCTGAGTCATTGTTCAAAACCAATCCAATTCTTATTATTGATTTGTTAATTATTCACTCGTAGTGTCACTTTATTTTTCTAGTAATAAACTTGTTATCTTTTTTTTTGTTCAAATCGCGTAATTTATTTAACTGTTCGTCTCGCTTGGTTGTCGATTGTCGTTTTGTCTGTCGTCCGTTAATTCCGCGAAGGCTCGCATAATCAATTAATTTTCTCTAATAACCTCTCCCCTCTACGTTAGGCGAGCTAGTCGGCCCGTGGCGAAGCAGGCTATCGTTTTCTTTTAACGTCTTTCGGCTTTTCGCAAAAACTGATGCGTGAAAGATCGCATCTGGCGCCCAGCTTTTCGATATATCGATACGGTCTCCGCTCCGCCGCGCGAGAACGTCCTCCATCCCTGTTCCTCAGAACGCGAGTATAATAATTTCGTTATTGTTTTTGACGGCGTTTTCGCTCCCCCGCGCACGCTCCCATATAACATCTCGAGGAGTGTCGCGATTCATTTTGAATCTAATTGAAATAAACGTCGCAATATATATATATATATATATATATATATATATATATATATTGCGACGTCGTTGTCCACCTCGAGAACACCGATCCCGAGAAGGTAGCGTGCAAGCTTTGGCCGATACGGTATTTAACGGTATAAGGTTTAAACGGTATCTCCAAATTACGGTAGCGTACGGTATCTGGTAGCTCCCCGGAAAGGAGAGTAAAATTGGGCGCCAGGCACGGTATCTCCGCGCCACGATAACGATACGGTAAAGGTAATATTCGGTAACCCAGGACTCGGTATGTGGCAGAGGGGCAGGGTTCTTTGTGAATTATATATATAGAGAGAGCGCTAGATCAGTGCTGGGATTTACTTGCAACTTTCGGCCGAATTTCTTAGCTTACGCCTACTGTTTCCCTCTTACCGCTCGCGCCGCTCGTAACTAAGAAGCGCTCAGGAACGTGTGCGTCACAAATGTAATGTGGCAATCTATCTATCTACATTCTCTTATTGTAATTACATTTCAAAACACAAATATTTTAAATATTTTACAGAACATATGCGTAATTAATAATAGAATACTTATTTTTATTATTAATAAACAATAAAGAGAACTTAGATAGATTGCCACATAACATTTGTGACGCGCACGTTCCTGAGCGCTCCTTAGTTACGAGAGTTCGGTGGCGCGGTTGCTAAGGAGCGAGCAATAAGAGGGGAACAGTAGGCGTAAGCTAAGAAATCTGGCCGAAAGTTGCAAGTAAATCCCAGCACTGCGCTAGATAATGTGTGGAAGAGAGAGAAATAATCGACACTGAGTTAATCTTATTTACAATTACTTAAATAAATTACTAAAATAAATTACTAAAATATATTAAACAGTTAAGACACAGAGTAAACGACGTCACAGAGACAAGAATAATATAATATATAAAATTTTGTAGATAAGAAAAAAAAATGAAATAAGAAAGAACAGATAAATCTCGGAATATAAACAGCTGATAATACAAATGTGAAAGACAAGCGACTTAAGACTTATAACGGATAACGCGAAGGTCACAAATAATCATAACGGAAATAATCTATTTATAATGTGCGGCTACGGTGAAATGCAACGGTGAAAACGATACGAAAATGGTTATAATACGTATCTCATAAATCGTGATAAGAAAGTTCAGATAATAATTAACAGTGAAGTAATCTTTAATACGCGAGATACAAGAATAAGTCAGATTTCAGAACACGTTCGGAGTCGTGAGACTCGCCACAGGATTTCGATATAAATTGAACTGTGTTTCCTACAATAAACAGCGGTAATTAGCGGTAATCAATTACAAGATAAGACTCGCGATCGGAGTACAGCAGACGCGTACAATTTCGGAACACATTCAGAGGCACGAGCCTCAGGCGAATCTCGATATTAATCGAGGGAAACTTTATATAATATTTAACGGTAATTTATGATACAGATATTCGAAAGTAACGGATAACGAGCAGAAAATAATGACTGAATATACTTTTCGTATAGATTCAACTGCACACGTCTCTCCAAAAATTTCGATATAAATCGAATTAGATTTTATACAATATTTGACGGTAACTTCTACTGCAGATAATTAATAACGGTCGATGCCGACTGATAGACAACAAATGAATATAATTTTAGTATAGGTTTGACGGCATACGTATTTTGCACCATTTCGGTATAAGTCGAATCGAACCTCCTTTACGGTAATCGGCGATGATATTACACAATATATATTTGGCAGAAAACAAAGGCTTCGCTTAACGGTAGCTTCAAGGGTGTTTTTGCGGAAACTGTTTACCCTATTTAACGGTCTTATTGCGACCTTTTATACTCGGCTCAAACAATAGAATCTTCAAAGGAGCGATAACGGTAATATGTTTTGGCGGAGATTTCGCGTTGAATAATATTCTTGCGGAGCCATTTTTCTCATTTACGGTAACTCGTGCTCGCGAAGAAATTTTCCGCTTAAATCCCGTTTTTCGATACGCGATACGAAACGGCCAAAATTGCCACGTCACGATAGGACTTAAATTTCGGCACGGAACGTAACGGTAACATAAACGATATTAAAACGGCACGATACAATATTTGACGATACGAAACGGTACGGAATTTTACTGTACTGCACGTGACTGTCGGTACGAACCCCATTGAGAGAGACAAATCCGCGACCCCCGGTGTTAGCTGGCGTCCGGTAATTAACGAGAGATAAGCACCCAGGCTTTCTTCGACGATAGTGCGAGAAGACCGGTACACGGAATTGACGCCAGCTGTTCCCGGGAGAAAATCGAGCGATTATCTGGGTGGCGGCTTACATTTTCGAAGTGACGGCTTCCTCGGAGGGTCGTCTCCTCTGGGCTCGCGACTAACTGAACTTGCTCGAGGCTCACCGAAGAAGAATAGTGAAGAATATTAACTGCGTCCGCAAGGCCCTCGGATCTTCCGCGCATTCCATCAATTTTCGAAGAAACAGGGAGTTGATTCTCCGCCCCCTTCAGAGTCACAGCTGTAGGACGGCATTGCCCTTGCGCAGGGGCCCAGGATCCATGTGCGACGGTATCTGACGGTAGTTCTGATCCTTGTAGACGGAACCGGCTGGCCAGGCCGTATCCTCGTCTTTTTCGGAATCCTCTTCATTTCCCAGTCGGCCGCCTAGGAGGTTGTTTTCAGTTCCGTCGTCCGGATTTTCTGCCGTCTTTTAATCTGAAATTATTCGGTTTTAATGTTTTGCAGAATTAAGAATAGCTACGGCGAGGGATCTCATTACATCACCTTTCGTTTTCCTGCGGTACTCGTATCTTCGGTATTTTCCTATACGGCTCCCTCTCCTCTAGGTATCTCGCTGTGTCTTCATTTATAAATGGCGGTATCGCACGCACGCACAGTAGCCGCACTCTATTCACGGATTTTACATTCAAGCTAAAATAAATCTAAATGATCGAATTATAATTAATCTTGGTTCCCTCTCAGGCGCGAGGGACGACCCAGCGCACGCTTTTTCCCTCGGCGGAGGCGTTGTGACGGAGCTCAAAAGCGTCACGTCACAATATATATATATATATATATATATATATATATATAAAGTTTAAAAGAATCATATGAAATTAAAGGAACAAATGTCATTGGTATCATTACTAAATATTAGTTGTATGCATAGAAAAAAATGAAAAAAAATTTGTAAGAGGTATAAATTTAGGAAATATATACATATAAACTATATAAAAATTATTACAATATAATTGATTATTAATTATTAATAATAAATAATTGTTATTTATTATTAATTATTGTTATTACTATTAAAAATTATTATTATCAGAATAGGTGTATTTTCGTAGTAGTATTTATCAAATAAGTTCTTTTTAATAAGGATATGTAATTGTAGGAATCTTTAACTAATGCCATAGAAAATCAATTAATATTTAACATTATTTTGATATCGAATACAGGAAATATGTATAAGATATAATTTCCAAATATATTATAGTTTCTGATAGATATCTCGTTAATGTTCGATGGAAATAACTTCGGTGTAAAAGATTATTATTACTGGATCCAAATAGGATAGTTGCCGCAATAAATATGGTTGAAATTCATACTAAATTAACAAATTAAAGCTACTTAAAAATAAAAGTAAAATGATGCTAAAAGTCTTTATATTCAGGTAAAAAAAATAAGAAATGAGAAATGACAATAATTAAAATATTGTTAAAATATTTAAGAAGAGAATTTAATATGATATATTAATTAATTTATATATTGATGTTAGTTTATAAAATTAATATCCAAAATATGGTTTATTTTTGATTGGTTCAATAATGAAAAAATATGATTCAGATAATATCGACATGAACATATCTTTTTTAATGAGACATTTAATTTCATGCTATACTTCTTAAGTTACTATACGTAATTATACGTAAGTATAACAAAAAATATTTTTAATAAACATTTTATAATTCAAGTGAGAGAATATAGTTCGTAAATTTAATGATCAAACTTTAGTATTTTTTATGTATGTATTAAAAATAAGAAAAAAATATAAACATAGGTCTAAAACATTTTATTAATTAAAATGTCCAAAATTATGGGGGTATATTTTATAAATGATATTTATTTTTATGTATTGTATAGGCTAAATGTACGAAAGAGTAAATATATATGTAAATTTTTGTAATATTCTCATAAGTTTTCTTATTTTTCTTATTTTTAAATCACACATTATTCTACTCTTTATTAAATTATACACTATATATATATTTTTTTAATGTAATATTATTTACTTATAATTTACTTTTTTCAGTTATTATAATTCAGTTATTATAATTTACTTATTTCCATGATTCTTTTTCTTAATTTTCTTAATTAACTCTAAACCAAATTAAAACATTAAGTTAATGTGGTGGTTACAAGAAAAAATCTAATAATTGAGTATATAAATTAGGCAGAAAAAAACCACACAGTATAGATGTCAAAATTATAACAATGTTTGAAACGATAGCGGTACAATATTGAATAATAATTCTCAAAAAACATAACTGAGTCAGAAATTAAATGGTAGAAACGGTAACATAAAAGAGATTCACAAAAATTAAGTTACAAATAATTGTCATAAGAAGAGTTAAATACAAGAGATTAATTTCGCAAGATTAAATTCGCAAACGTTTCGATCTAATCCAGATATTTTTCAATGCGACAACAATATTAATATCGAAAGTGCAAGTAAATTAAAATGATAATATAGAAAAAAATAATAGTAAATAATAATGGTCGCTCGCAACGGATAGCAAACAGATTCAAACTGTGATACAAGGTGAAACGCTCAAATAAATATTCATGGTCAATATCAATAATACATACATATGAGATAAATACACGCATATTAGCTTCCGAAATTTATAATTAAGAAATAAAAGAATTACGCTCTCAGAGAAATAGCCGTGTGAATGTCCGCAAGCCTGCATGCTACTCACCAATGCGCAACACATAGATCATGGCTGTGTAGAAAAAAGAGTGATGAGAAAAAAGATGGTAGAGGATGCGCGTAGAGGACAGAGATACCGCATACGTTCCACACTCTGTATATCGTTGAAAAGATTCCTTATTATGCGTTAAAAATTCATGCCAAAGCCAGAACAATTGTAATCTGAAAAATAAAGCAAGCAGAGCAACACGCATTCTCGCAAAACACCACAACAGCAATAAAAAATTAGATGTAAAGAAAAGACAGAAAAATTGATAGAGAATAATTAATACACTAAAATAAATTTTTAAAGAAAAGTTACATACAAGCAGTTATGCAATGTTGAAAAGATCGCAGTGAGAAAAATGTAGAACAGAATTATTAAAAGACACAAGAGACGTGTATATCCAACGAGACGACGAAATGTACTGAGACGCGTGATAATGGAGAGCCAGGCATGCCAATCCGATGGAGAGGGAAAGGGAGGGGGGAAAAGGGATTCAGGAACGGATGATGAAAATAAAAATGGAAATTAATATGGAAATTAAAAATGTAAAGATTTGATAATAGGAAGATAAACTTTATCAAATTTCTCCGTATCTTTCTGAACGTTGAGACCATTGCTCTGTCGTATAATATGGATCATTTCAGAGTAGTTCTTCTGAGAAACGAAGCATCTTGATCCAAAATTTCGACATCATTCCATGCAAAATCATGTCCCATAAGTCTATGTTGAGATAAAACAGATAGATGTTCGGTGGGTCGATCAATGTTGGATCGATGCTCGCGGATACGAGTCGAAATCTTTCTGCTCATCTGTCCTACATACGATGCTGAGCAATCCGAACAAGAGATTTTATATACTACATTTGTGTGACAATCCAATGAAAGAGGATCTTTATGCGTTTTAATAAAGCAGTTCAATTTATTCAAGACAACATGGGCCAAAGATTTGTTAAGTTTGCAAGCAATGTCTCTGAAATGTTCTGAAACTCCCTTGATGTACGGAATAACGAAAAATGCTTGAGTGAAAGAGGGAGAAGGAAGGGGGGAGGATGTGGAGGGAGGAACAGACTGATTATGAATCAATAGCTTGACTCTGCTTGTGATGGTATTAAAAATGAAATTCGCCGGATAACCATTGCTGGAAAGGATCTCAGAGATTATACTAAAATTCTTCTCATGATATCTTGGATGTGACAATTTGAAAATTTTGTCTGTGAGTCCAATAATTACTCCCTTTTTATGAGCCAACGAGTGTTCAGAGAAGAAATTGAGAAACCTTCCAGAAAAAGTGGGTTTCATATACCAGTCGAACTCGATATGATTATTATTAATAATGATAGTCACATCTGAAAAATTGAGACGACTATCATTGGCAATCTCCATGGTGAATTTCAACCTATCATGAAAAGAATTAAAAACAGAATTAATAAGATCCAAAAAAGAAGCGGGAGTAATTAAGGCAATGTCATCAACGTATCTAAAATAAAATGGAAGGTGAAAAGGAAGCTGTGAAATGGCTTTTTCTTGAAGGTCTTGAAGAACGAGGTCCGCACAAATAGGAGAGGGAGGGGAGCCCATAGGTGTTCCAAAAATTTGCTTATAGATTTTATCATTGAATCTGAAAAAAGTAGAGTTAAGAACCAATCTGAGTCCAATAACAAATTCAGAGAAAGGAATTTTAATTTTGTTTTTAATTAAATGCCATCGTTTTCCGATGCTTCCAATGATAAGATCCGTGGGAACATTGGTAAATAAAGAAACTACATCAAGTGAAATGAGTTTAAGATGGTCGTCTATATAAAGGTTATTAATCTTATCAACCAACTCATAGCTATTAGCAATGTGGCTGCTGCAATGTGGTAGGTTGTCATGAAGGCAGTTATGTAGAAAGGTAGCAAACTTGTGGAGTGGGCTATTAATGGAAGAAACAATGATTCTTAGAGGGAAATTAGATTTGTGGATTTTTGGCAGGCCGTAAGCTCGAGGTAATGTGCCATCGCTACAATACAAAGATCGTTTTTTAAAATCCGAAATGTAATCCAACTGTTGCCATCTTTTCAATATGTTGTTCAGTTCATTACACATTTTTTTAGCGGGGTCTCTTTCCACAATCATATTAAGTGTCCGAGTCATTCAACAATTCATTCATTTTAGCTATGTACACGTCTCTATCAAGAACGACAGTGGCATTACCCTTGTCTGCTCTCGTGACAATCGAATCAGGATGATCCGCCAGAAAGGTTTTGCAAATTTTATTAAGTCTTGATACTGTACATTCAATGCATAGCTAATATACGTGTATTTATCTCATATGTATGTATTGGGTTGGGGAAAAAGTTTCTTCGTATTTTATTGCAAAAATGAAACAAATTTTATTCATATTTGAAATGAAGCTTATGAAATTAAATATGTGCCGTTTTGTTCGACCACTTTTTGCCATCTTTGAGGTAAAACCATAATCCCGTCACTGTAGAACTTGTGTGATTTCTGGGCGAAAAACTGTGACAAGTGATTTTCACAGGCCTCTCTTGAAGCCAACTTCGTACCATTAAGAGAGTTCTGTAGAGATCGAAATAAATGGTAGTCTGATGGTGCAAGGTCAGGACTATAAGGTGGGTGCATCAAAACTTCCCAGCCAAGTTCTCTTAATTTTTGACGAGTCGCTATAGATACATGAGGTCTCGCGTTGTCGTGATGAAAGACGACGCCTTTCCTATTGATCAATTCTGGTCGCGTTTTCTCAATTGCCTGGCGTAATCTTTCCAATTGTTGATAGTAAAGGTTAGAATCAATTGTTTGACCGGACGGCAGCAGCTCGTAGTGAACGATTCCTTTGTAATCCCACCACACACTCAGCATCACTTTTCTTGGCGTCAATTTTGGCTTTGCCACAGTTTGCGGAACTTCATTTCGCTTTGTCCACGATCTTTTTCGTACATTATTGTCATACGTGATCCATTTTTCATCGCCTGTTATGAGCCGTTTCAAAAATGGTTCGATGTCGTTTCGTTTTAACAATGATTCGCAGATAGAAAATCGATCCATTAAATTTTTGACTGTTAAATCATGTGGCATCCAAACATCGAGCTTTTTTTTGTATCCAGCTTTCTGCAAATGGTTTAAAACTGTTTTGTGGTCGATGTTCAGTTGCTTACCGATTTCGTGACTGCTAATATGCCGGTCTTGTTCAATTATTTCCATAATTTCATCGACTTTTTCAGTGATCGGTCGACCAGAGCGAGGTGTATCTTTGACGTTAAAATTTCCAGATTGAAAACGCTTGAACCAGCTTTGTGCAACACGTATTGATACAGCATCATGTCCATAAACATCACAAAGTTTTTTAGCTGCCTGAGTTGCATTCTTCCCTTTTTTAAAATAAAATTTAAAAATGTATCGAATTTCTTCTTTTTCTTCACTCATTTTCAAGATGCAATAACTTTTAACTGAATAGATAAATATCACTACTTTTTTGCTACTTTTTCTTTATGATATGTCACCTTTCAAACGCACACAAAGTATTGACAGATCCGATTAATATTATCAAGATTATGCGATTCTAATTCCATCTGCCGGAAAATACGAAGAAACTTTTTCCCCAACCCAATATTATTGATATTGATCATGAATATTTATTTGAGCGTTTCACCTTGTATCACAGTTTGAATCTGTTTGCTATCCGTTGCGAGCGACCATTATTATTTACTATTATTTTTTTCTATATTATCATTTTAATTTACTTGCACTTTCGATATTAATATTGTTGTCGCATTGAAAAGGATTTGGATTAGATCGAAACGTTTGCGAATTTAATCTTGCGAAATTAATCTCTTGTATTTAACTCTTCTTATGACAATTATTTGTAATTTAATTTTCGTGAATCTCTTTTATATTACCGTCTCTACCATTTAATTTCTGATTCAGTTATGTTTTTTGAGAATTATTATTTAATATTGTACCGCTATCATTTCAAACATTGTTATAATTTTGACATCTATACTGTGTGGTTTTTACTGCCTAATTTATATATTCAATTATTAACTCTAAACGTTATAAACTTTTCAGAAAATATTGGAAAAATATTATGTTACGTCCAGGCCCGAGGAAGGATGGGCGTAACACTTGTATTCCGAGAACAGGTGCCTTAAGGGCAAGTGTCTCGGGTCGAGCGAGCTTGCGGGAAAGCCAAAGATAGGTCAACGACCACAAGGGTCGATTTTATTCTATTTTTGGTCCGAATGCCCGCTCGATGCTCCCCTTTTTGGTAAAGGAACTTAATCCTTTTTACCCGAGACGGGATCAAGTGCGATTCAGGAACGTGGGTGATGAGGGGGAATTGATTAAGTTAGATTCGAAAGAAATAAAATTAATTAAATTTATTGTACATTATAAAAAAGATAAAACTTACATAAACATTTTGGTTACGGCTCTTGTACAATATTAAGTGTGATTGTGTATATGTGTGTTGGTGCATTAAGCGTGATTGTGTGTGTATGTGTGGGTGTATGCGAGACGGGGTGAGGTTGGTCGGAATCTGGAGGATAGAGGATCTTTCCCGGAAGAATTCTACGGGAATAGCAATGGGATATCTGGTGAAGGGAGTGAAGCAAGGGATGGGAATGTTAGAAGGGGCGATGCGGAGAAAGGCCTTTAGAGTTGGAATATGAATAGGACCAGGGCCCAAGGTGAATTGACCCGGGAGGATGGGGTAAGAGTACGGAGGATAAGTCGAGCTGAGAATTTCGGAGACGATCCGATCACTAAGATCGATGTCGGAGTAAACAGGGGGAGGAAGAGGAGGAGGAGACAAAAGATGAGGATCTGGGACTGGCGAGTGGGGTAGAGAAGGAGAAGGTGATAACTGCGGAAAATCAGGTTGCGTGTCGTACACTGGGGAATAGCTGGGAGAAAGAGTTCCCGGAGACAGGTACGGGGAGTAATTAGGGGGAAAAGTTTGAGGGGACGGATACGAGGAGTCTCGCGTACTTCCTTGGAAATTGTTCAAAAAAATTCGAGTAATGAGAAGATTCGTGTTTATATCGTTTAGATTTAGAGTGAAAGAGGGGTCGGCGACAGCCCGAGCCAGTAGTCGGCGGGTACGACGATTGCGTCGGTATCGGAGGCGCTTTGCGTGAACCCCAGCGGATCTCGAAGGTTCCACTAGGGAAGCGATTATTATCAATAAAGGAAGATGGGGGGGAGAGGAACTTAATAAATAAAAGATAAGACTTACTATTTGAAAAGCATGGACAAATCGATACAAATTATTGCTAGGCCCTCTTGAGGATGGCGAGATATTAGCGCTGAATTGATTCTGGATATAGTTGTTGAAGAGGGTGGTTGCTTCCGGACCCCCTTGGTTAAGATTTTTGCACTTACTCGATAAGTAAGTATGTAACCGAACAACTATGTAAGTATGTAACTGAGCAAATACGTAAAGAGGTGAACTAGTAAGCGAAGAAAAATGAATGTATGTCTGTGTCAATTTGTCCAAAGTTCGCGCTTATATATCGTTTTGGATTATCCTCTCCCAGCGTGAGAAATAAGGGAAGTTGACGAATAGAAACCCTCGTTAGATTTCCGTGGTCTCCTTCCTGTCCCTACTTATGAACATTTTAAAACAAATGCAACAAATCAGAATTTTGTTACATTTGTCTGCGAATAGGAGAGCATCTTCCAAAACGGGGGACTTAGGATTCTCAGTATCGTAGGTGGTGGTAATTTATGCTTTGTAAGATGCGTCTGTTGGAGATAAGGGGATGACTTTTACTATCCCCTTGAGATAAAACGGGTGCGTGTTCGGTCACTCGCGTTTTGTGAATAGTTTTCTTTATTTTCTGTAGCTTGTTTGAATTTTGTGAGGTTTTTTTTTTAGTGATCAGAAAATATCAAATTCGTCTGACTGACTGCCGCCTTATTTAGCCAGATGCTACTTTTATACAGTCCGTGAATATCTGATTGTTATTCTGGAGTATTTACTGAGAATCCTACTTCAATTTAACTATCATTAACGATTTTCGTGCACATGTGCACCGGATAAGGGAAAGAAAAGAATCGTGAGCTCCTCTGGACGTAACACCCCCGCCGTTAGACAAATGTTGGGGATGTAGGACACAACATTTGCAGATGGAATTGTCTCGATTCTTTTCTTGCCATTTATTTTTATAACTTAGTATTTGGGTGGCCTTTCGGAGGCGTGCCTATCACTATTGTATACATGTGTATTTATATAGATGTTATTAATACGCCATTTTTTCTATTATTAAGATTGTTGAACTATCGATTTCTTATAATGCGAAAGTGGAACTTCATTTCGTTATTACTATTAATACTTTTGTCATTAGCAAAAAGGAAAAGAATTTCCCTTTTCTTTTCTTATAACTTTAACTACCTGATCATCAGTAGCGAGACAATGCCAGACGCTCGGGTCGGGTTTGATGTAGGGGTTTGTTTTTTTTCTTTTATCCATCTGGTGGTCACAGGGCGTCCCCATTCTTTGACTAACAAGGGGAGGTTAGGTGTGGTTAGGCCTGATAACGAACCTGGCAATTTCTCTACACTTCGAGAAAAAAAAAATTTTGTTTACAAGGCGCATTGGACGAAAACCTCGAACACGGATCAACTTTTTTTCGACGTAGATTCACCATACCAAAGGAGATCAAAATCGGTGATGAGTCAACCGCGACCTCCCCTTGTAAGTACGTCATATCGACGTGTAGATATTCTTCCAGGCAGTATAGGTATGCGGGGCTGACTCATAAGATTATGCTACAGATCGTGCAAGTTGTTTGATGTTTGGCTGGAATTTTAATGGACCAAACTATGCAGTGGTACTAACATGTACTGTTGTCTGTAGTTCGATAGTATTGCCACAAAGCATTCCTTGCAAATCTGATGCCTTGAAAACGTCGTCTCTTGTTATAGTGACGCACTGGAGTTCAACTAGGTTGCGATAGTCATTGTGATTCGTTCTTCTTTGTCCGTCAAGTAATTGCATTTTGGGAGGCCCGCGAAAAAAAGGGGGGGGGGGGTAATAACTGGCTTTTCTGATGATCAAGCGATATTCATTAATGAGAGAAAAAAAACCGATTCCACTTTCGCGCTCCTTAGAGTGCTAAAAAAAAGAATATCAGTCTTATGTAAAATTTATATTGTGAATTGATAATTCTATAACTAAAACTCCTATAAAATGTTTATAATTCTTGTATAACATGTGTTCATGTATTTGTATATAATCATTCTTTTCCCTTTTTGAATATGAATATTGTACTTGAGTGAATATAAAAATTTTATATTATTTTTCGTTATTTTTATCATATGTATATATATATATACATTTTTTTTTCGATTAACATAAGAATGATTATAGAGTGTATACACACGTAGGATAATAACTAATAATATAGAATAATGCTTAATAATATAATGTATGGAATATATTCCTTTAAAGTTCTATTGTTTTTTATACGGTAGGAACTACATCTGCGGCTACAGTAGTGCTAAGTTGGGCGTGGCCTAATAGAATAAGCGCATCGCGGAGAGAATATGAAGTAGTCGGGGGTATTCCCTCTACGTTTAACTTAACTAGCGCTGTCCCTTCACTAAGGGGGCGGACTATATGAATCCACCCTTTTCGTCCCTCAAGAAGTAGTCGGCAGAAATCCTTGGTTTCCTTTGGCCAGGTTCGGACGTTCTGGACAGGACCGGTGTAGGCTAAGCCACAGATTATAGTTTGCCAAGGCAACTTCTTGAATCTGTCTACCTCCTCCAGGAGGTAGACATCGCACATACGCCGCCAGATTGATCGGCCCCAGTCCCCTAGGCTGATTTTGACCATCCAGTTCGTCCTATTAATTCTTTTTATAATGCCCCGTCGCCAAGTTTTGCAATCCTTTATTGCGACGGCCATGTTTTCTTTGAAATCTTCGGGCAAGATGTGTAGATAGGTGGCTTTCCTGACCATCCTGGATTCTAATTCTTCATCTAATTCTTTTAAGTCTTTCTCGCCGTTTCTCAGTTGAATGAAGAAGAGGAACGGTGACTCCACCTTGACCTATTGTTATGACCTATTGTTAGCGTCCTCGTGTTAGGAAATTTGTTTCGATGCTTTTGATCTCCATTTTCTTTATTCTGTAGAATGGTTAAAATTGCTTGTAATAGTAGAGTTTGGTTGATTTTTCTGTTAGCAATTTATTTAAAATAGGCGCGAATAACAGTCATGTATGTAACCGAACAACAGTATGTTTATATTGTGTATTGTTTTTATATATTTGTTGAAGACACGTTCGTCGGGCTAAAGCGTGGCAGAGCGTGCCTTCGCCCGATTGGTCGTATTCGAAAAATCCGGTAGACGAATACCACCGTATATATATACGGCGGTCGAATGAGCCGTCAGTCGTCGCTATCTGTACATCAAGAGATTAATAAACACCGCCTAACGATTCTTTTTTTTGATAAAGTTTCTGAATTATTTTCTGCCTTTCCCTGAAAACGGCTATTAATCCGCAGTTCCGCGCGCGTGTGAAATTTAAGACGACTTAGTGAGAAATTGTTAACAGTTTATTAGAAGTGGGATCAGAATCTGTGTGCCGATCGTTCGGAAAAAAAAGAAGAAGGAAGCAGCATGAATGCTCAGCGAGGTGCTGAATTTACGGTGATGGGGCTAAAGGAGGCCTTGCGGTCGAAGGGATTGCCGACCGGAGGATCGAAGGCCGAGTTAATGCAGAGGTTGATGGAGAAAGATCCAAATGCATGGACGATGATGTGCGAGCGGCGGGAGGCGTCGCGACCGAGTAGTGCGCGGGATACAGACCGCGTGGAGGATGCTGGTGTGGTGGAGGACGAGATGGAGCGGATTGACATGGGACGAGAGGACCGTAGATCGGAAGATCTTGAGCGTGCGGAATTGTTTTTGCTGCGGAGAGAGAGAGAACTGTGGGAGAGAGAGAGACAGTTGTGGGCGAGAGAGAGAGAACTGGCCCGCAGCACGTCGGCTGCATCGACGGAGGCGTCTGGCGGCGGTGTCAGGGGCGTTAGGGAGCTATTGCCAGAATTTGACGCAGGAGACAATATCTTTTGGAGATGGAAGAATCAGCTCGAGCTTTTGCGGAACACTTATCACCTCGACGAGAACGCCACAAGAATTTTAATCGGTTCTCGGTTAAAGGGGCGTGCACTGGCTTGGTTTTATTCACGGACGGAATATTTGACTTTGAATATTGAAGATCTTTTGAAGGAGATGGGGCAAATGTTCGATTCGCGCCCCGGGAAATTGACGCTTCGGAGGAAGTTTGAGGCTCGCCTCTGGAAAGGTGACGAGCCGTTTTGCGACTATTATCACGAGAAGGTGATTCTTGCTAACCGTGTTCCGGTAGCAGAGGACGAGCTCCTCGATTATCTAATCGAGGGCATATCAAGTATACAATTAAGAAACCAGGCGCGCCTCATGAAATTCCAGTCGAAGGCCGAGCTATTGGAGGCCTTTGAGAGTGTCACGGTCGAACGAGAGGACAGAAGGACGGGAGTTGGAAGGACCGGGGATACGAGGTGGAGAAGTGGCGCAAGAACAGTCGTTGGCGGGAAGGAGGCGCCGCCTGCGGGAGCGAGGCCGACGGAGGGTCGGAGGCTCGAGCGGACGACGGCCGAGGGATCATCGTCGGGGACGAGACGGTGCTATCGATGCGGCGAAGCTGGGCATATTGCGGTGAGGTGCAGGCGGCCGCCAGCGGGGAAGACGTTATGTCTGCGGATCGCCGGAGCATTTGGCCCCGGGATGTCCCAAAAGAGCGCGGACGGCGACGGCAGGAGCGGCGGCCGGATCGACGGAGATTGCGGTGACGGACGTAGCGCGGCCCTCGCTTCCTGGGCCTTACATTGTAAGCGTGAGTATTTCTGCTGCGGATGAGCGCAGGGATTACGATCGCGTTGATGACGCGTTGATTGACTCGGGATCGCCGATTAGTCTTGTCAAAAATGATATTGTTCTGGATGAGTTGTGCTCGCCTCTCGAAGACAACGTTGATCAATTTTGCGGAATTAATGGTTCGCGACTGCGTGTAATCGGTACTTTTGATGGTTATGTAACGATTAAAAATGTTCGCGTAAAAATAAAGTTTTATACCGTCCCGGATGATACCATGACGTTCAATGTCCTTTTGGGTAGAGATTTCCTGGTCTGCCCGTCAATTCGCGTCACGCTGGGGAAAAACATTGAGATCATTGCAGTCGACGGAGAGGACGTTATCGGTGAGATAATGGCGATCGAGAGCGGAGACGTTTCTTTTAGTTCGCGTGACGAGTTAAGTATCAATGCGGCTGTTGGCGAAGAGAACAGTGAAAAAATTTGCGAAGCGTATCGTTCGTGTTATCTCGCGGGTTTGCAGGGAGAGAGCCGTGCGCCTGATTTCGAGATGGTTATCGCGTTAAAACTAGGGATGTACCGGATAGTAAATTTGCCGGATACCGGATATCGGATATCCGGAAATAATATAATACCGGATACCGGATACCCCGCCGAATATCCGGTAGACTAAATATCCGGCCGGATTGCCGGATATTTGCCGGATACAAGGTAATAATAAAAAAACCAAGAAAAGTATCCAATTTAATTATGATATTTTATATTTTATTTGCATAAGAATTATCAAAAATTGTAATTTAATATTAGTAAATTTTTCATGATGAACAATAACATTTCAGCATTCTGCGGTGACAATCTGTTTCGATTATCAGAATAAACTAACTTTCCCGCACTAAAAAGTCTTTCTGAATCGACAGAAGAAGGAGGAGCACTTAGGTATTTTATAACCAAACTTTTTAGATTAAGATATTCCAGAGCATGTGTTTTCCACCATATTAAAGGGTCTTCATTTCTAGGCGACAGTGGTATCATGAGGTATTTCGCTAGCTCAGCATTGTAGACAGCTGTTTTCTTTTTACTTCTGTCACTTGGTTGTCTCACAAGCGGTGTTTTGATTAATGAATCTGTTATAGCCCGAGAGACTATAACTTATTTTAGTAATTATATAAAACATTCGCGAATATCGTAAAGAACATTCGCGAGCCGCGCCAAGAACCGCTAACTCAGCGAACTACCGTCGCTCACCGGAAACGCGAAAGACGCTAACGAAGGAATTCGACTTTGAACTTCCTTCGCTTGCATTTTGATTATGAACGCCACAGAAAACCCCATGACCATATATGGTCATGTTGCCAGGCGATCCCCTCCAAAAAACCCTTCAAAACAGAGGGAATAAAAGCCGTCCACCGCAAATCCGCGGCGGACAGTCACAAGTAATAAATCAATCACTAAAGTAGTGCCGAGTGCTAAACCGTTAAAATTGTGCAACGAAGACACCCAAAGAAATTGTAAACGCTCTAAATCTATTTACGAACGATTCGAGGAAAGGACAACGAAGAGAAGGCTCGAAAGAAACTGATAAGAATAGAAGATATTAAGCGAATATATATTTGTAAACTAAAAATACAATAAAAACGCTAAAGGATAAATACGGTTCTATTTTATACTCCCGGCTACCCCACACCCCGTGCCCCGCCGGGCACGACATTATTGGTGGCAGCGATGGGATAGCCGAGATCGAGGACCATCCTGGATCCTTAACGCCTGCAACAAAAAGAAAATACAAAATTAATAAACTGGAGAGAGCACCGGCTACATTAAAGCAGGTAGTCTCAACCAGCAACGCACACGGACGACAGTGATAAGGAAATCACGGCCAAGCAGCTGAAAGCAGAAAGGAAACACCAGCGCTCAAGGACCAACGTCGATCCACGGCCAAGGCAACGCAACGCAGACGGACAACGCATCACCGACGGATAGCGCACCAACGGGACAACGACCCACCAGCAGCATCAACAGTCGAGCGATACGATAAGCGACCTGATAAGTTACGACCATGCGAATCACCGTGCTACTACTGTAAGTCGAACTTTATTTAAATGTCAGCACCGTCAAAACAAGTAAAATTTAAGAGTCCG